AGCCATTGAGAACCCAATGGAGTGTAGTTCTACTCTGACACAATGGGGGCATCATGAGTCAGAATCGCCTCAGTGGCAAAGGGTTTTTGTTTGTTTTAGTATGGAAAACAGTTTCCAAAAACAGGAAGATACAGGGCACCAGGTTCTGCTTTTGTATTGGTTCAGAAACATTCAGCTTATTTTAAGGTGATTCCCTCCTTATCCTCCTCTCTCAATGGGGACCGTGCAGATGAGTCGCAGAGGAAGAAGCACACAGGAAAGGACACTGACCTGGACTGGCTGGAGTCCTGCTCTGTCACACACTTGGAATAACCTCGGTAAATCACTTCCTGTCTCTGAACTTTTGTTTCCATAGCATGAAAGGGTTGGACCAGATGGTTGGAGAGATTCCTCCTGTTTTGTTGTTGTTGTTGTTAGGTACCATTGAGTCGGTACTGACTCATAGTGACCTTAAAATTATATTTCAGAGCCGCGCTTTCCCTGACTCATGTCATTGAGTGTTCCAGCTGTAGGATTATTATACAGAATTTGGCTCTTGGTTACTCATGCAACACTCCAGGACCAACCCAGATACCCATTCTTCTGTCCTTATGTAATAAATCACATTTGCTTTGAAGTTAGGAGTGTTGATCCATTGACTGATTTGACTCTCATGACCCCTGGGAGGATAAGACACTTCCCATTTTAAGTGAAAAAATTGATGCTGAAAGAAGGGAGAAGAGAATCTTCTAGGTGCAAGGCCCCATGATGGGTGCTTTACACAGCATCTTCTAAAACCCTTTGAGGTGAATACTAGTATCCCCACTTTACTGCTGTTGTTGCTGTTAGGTGCCATGAGTCAATTTCAGTAGAACTAGCCCATAGAATTTTCTAGGCTGGATTCTTTATGACTCCATGGCATAACAATAATAAATCTCTATGAATAGGATCTCCAGGTCTTTCTCTTCAGAGACATTGGTTAGGTTTCAAGTGCCAACATTTCATTTAGCAACTGGGCAGCATTGTATCACTTTACAGGTGTGGAAATGGAGGCCCAATAAGGTCAGATGACTTTCCTAATGCTGCACTGACCGTAGGGGTAGAGATGCAGTATTCAGACTCTGAACTACTTGCTCCTCTCTCCACGTGGTCTGCTGCTTTTATTGACAGCTCCCCACGCATGCTAGCATGGTCACCGTTAGCATTAAAGAGCTCTTTCTTCTTAAGATCATCTTTTTATGATGCTTTCCAAGCAGTTCAACATGTTGAGTCTCTGTTGCCTTATCTATAAAGCTGAGGTTAACAGTCCCTACTTCATAAAGGTGTTGTTTTAGACTGGATTCTCAAAAGAAGCAAACACAATGAAGCTTAAGTATATATAAGGGAGCTTCAAAATCTTTGTGGAAAAAAAAAAAGGACTTAAAAGCTAATAGTTCATGATGAACCTGACCTATACTCAGAGCAGTAGTTACTCTAAATACCAACAGAGAGGGAAAGAGTCTTCAAATCAAGTATCAATGCTATCTGCTCTGTGCACAGG